TAAGGGGGGTGTTTTCGGGAGTTTGGTTTGTGTTTTTTTTATATCCACAAGTATTTATTTCATACTTAAGACAAATAGGTGTTAACATATATTATATTTGATATATTAATATGTGTGTTTGGTATGATAAATATTATTTTGGATATTAATAGCTAATATCATACCAGAAACAGTTTCATACATATACACTCATATATGGTGCATTTGTTTTGTGTAGGAGTGGGATGTATTCAGTTGTCGGTATGAAGCAGTGGCGGTGTTTACATTTGCACTATTCTTTACAGTTTCGTGCTGCTTTCATTGTTTATTTTTTTTAATCAGAAAACATGCATGTTTAAATCCTTTATGAAAAATATTGTTCTCAGTAAGTTTTCTTGAGCTTGGGGTCACTGTGTGGCAAAAGTTGTTTTCAGTAAGGTTTCTATCATGTTGTCCTTCAGGTAGCTAGCAAGCAAAAACATGAGCGACAAACTAAGAGTATGGGTATGGGCTTCAAATAAAACCAGTATGTAACAGCATTTGGGGTTCTATTTTGCTCAGTACTAGCTCAAGGTTATCAGCCAGTTAGGGATCTATTTTGCTCGAGCAGATCTGCTGTCAGTTTTAGCCAGGCCAAATTACCTCAGAGTATTTTGAAATACTCTGAGGTAATTTTGAGCTTTGAAACTGCAAAATTACCTTTTCAGACGGTTTATTATTACAATTATCCAAAAAGGTAATTCGCAGTTTTAGAAGCCCAAAATTACCTCAGAGTATTTCAAAATACTCTGAGGTAATTCTGAGTGGTTGAAGCCTCAAAATTACCTTTGAGTATTTTGAAATACTCTCCTAAGGGGCTGTGGTGCTGCTTTGCTTACACCAGCAGGGTTCTCGTGGAAATGTCCTTTGTCACTATGAATGTTTGTATACAGTAGAAATGTGTTTACATACTCAATCAATAAGTGTATCATTATTTTTTTTGGTATGCAATAAATGTTTCTTGATATGATCATCATTCGGCCTAATAAAGCACTGTAACTTTGTGTATGATACATACTGCTTATGTGGGAGCCTCATACCGTTTGATTCACTGCACTGTTGATGTTCATTTGGGTCAAGTATAGAGACCCAATCCCTGTTCTCCACCAGTGACAAACGGTATCACAAACGCTATGAATCTGTGAAGTTGTTGTTCTGGTATGTATATAATTTACCACAGTATACAATCTATAAAGGTACATTGGGAATCATACCAAAACAACTTATTTATATATTAAAGTATAATGGTTGGTAATGCTGGGAGATATAGTAGGATTCGTATGTTCAGGGATATGCCATAGCAGAAAAGATGTAGAACGGTTTAAAAGACAATATCACCATTAGTCACCATCCACTAGGAATAGTAGTCTAGTAGTTGTTGCCGTCCAAACAATACAGAAGAATATACACATATACATATATATATATCAATAGTTCATACCAGCCATACCAGACATAGCAGCAAAATCAAACACTTCCCTTTTGTTGTGTAATTCAGTACTTCTGGTATGATTCACAATATAACCAGAAGCTTTTATGCATTGCATACCATGAGACATTTTGTGCATAACAAACGAAAACTTGAATTTTAATTTCCCCAATTCAAAACCACACTACTCAACAGTTTTACAGCATGACTAATTGTAGTGGATAAATCGTGTTGGAACAAACTGTTTACGTAGCCTTTTCTATATCAATTTATAATCGTATATTAACCAAAACACGAACCATACCCAAAACCACGTTGACACCAAACATTAACATGTGTTGTGTAGTTGCATTCTTCTGGTATGATTCATAATAAAAGGCTCCTGATGCCGACACATTGCATACCATGATAAATTTCATACATACACACGACAAACTTGAGATTATCCGACTGGCAGTGCTATGTAGTTCCATACTTCTGGTATGATTCATCATTAAGGTTTTAAAGTCTACACGTTTCATACCGCGATAAAATTTATGCATACATTTTAACGAACCGGAATGTCAGTGGTGTGGGGTTTAAAAATAGAATTTTGCAAATTTATCATGGTATGAAACGTGTAGACTTTAAAACCTTAATTTAATGATGAATCATACCAAAAGTATGGAACTACATAGCACTGCCAGTCGTGTAATCACAAGTTTGTCCTGTGTATGTATGAGATTTATCGTGGTATGCAATGTGTCGGCATCAGGAGCCTTTTATTATGAATCATACCAGAAGAATGGAACTACACAACACATGTTAATGTTTGGTGTCAACGTGGTTTTGGGTATGGTTCGTGTTTTGGTTAATATACGATTCTAAATTGATATAGACAAGGCTACGTAAACAGTTTGTTCCAACAGGAATTAATCCACTACAATTAGTCATGCTGTAAAACTGTTGAGTAGTGTGGTTTTGAATTGGGGAAATTAAAATTCAATTTTTCGTTTGTTATGTACAAAATATCTCATGGTATGCAATGTGTAAAAGCCTCTGGTTATATTGTGAATCATACCAGAAGTACTGAATTACACAACAAAAGGGAAGTGTTTGATTTTGCTGCTATGTCTGGTATGGCTGGTATGAACTATATATATATATATGTATACTACGACTACTACTAGGACGGCGAGTACTGCTAGACTACTATTCCTACTGCCACTGCTACTTTATCGATTACGACTGCTGCCAGCAGGACTACGAGGGTTTCAGGTGTTGGAGCTTGAACATGTGTTGTGGGACAGGCGTCGCTCCTGTTCCTTATTATATCGCTGCCGAGCAGGGCAGGCGAGGCGCCTTTGCAGTGCAAGGGTTGCGATCCTGCGCAGTGCTGCTTGTGACAGGGTTTCCGAAGGGTTCTTGTTTGATGTTTGCTTGATTTTTGCCAAAGAGCTGCTGCTCCCACGTTGTGCATGCAGTGCAGAGTTCACATTCTCGAGCTTTCGTACATTGACTGTTTCGATCCTTCTAATCGTGATGGCGCTTTCCTCGAACAACGCGTTGGTGGCAAAGGCGGGGCAGGCGAAGCCGCAGGGGCAGGCACCAACACCAAAGGCGCCGGCGCCCAAAGTCGTCGAGCCCAAGAAGACACCGGCGCCGGCGCTTGCGCCAGGTGTCGTGCCGGCTGCAAAGAGGACTAAGGGGCCGCAGGTGCCAGCGATCCCACCACTGCCGACCCTTCCGGTTGGGAACGATCGCCACCAGGCGCAGGCGACCCGTGTGGTGCAGGACCTGGTGCCATGGGTGCCTGAACTGAATACAGATGTGTTTCTATAAATATATTACTATACTAGTATATGATTTTTTGTGATTATGTATTATAGGTGCACATATGTACACATGTGTACATGTATGTATGTATGTATATGTATGTATGTTCATATATGTGTATGTGTATTATATATTCTTTACATAATGAAACATACAAGTGCTTTCATGTTTTCTTAAGTTAAACAGGTTGTGTGTTGCTTGTTTGGACTTGTTTAGCTCACGGGGTATTTATTTCTTTTGTAGCTTTGATTTGGTGAGGTCGAGTACAAGCTGGCCGAAGCGCTGGTGAAGATGGGCTTCTACGATGAGGCGCCGGCGCTGGCTGAGCTTGAGCCGCTGTCGATCAAGGACAGGGATGTCGCTGGCGGGGGCGTTGCATCCTTCAAGGAGAAGTGGTGCCCGCGCAACTGCGCCACAGCGGCCCGGGCCTCCGGCTTGTACGAGGCCGCTGGGAGCCTGTTTTGGGTGCCGGCGGGGGCGCGGGCGCAGGAGGTGCTGCCTGTGCAAGATTGCACATGGGCGCAGGTGGAGGAGTTGAAGCCTCTTTTTGAGGAGGCGCAGGAGCTGGCGCGGGTGGTGTTTCCGGCAACCTTGAGTGCCTGGGTGGAGGACATTTCTGTCCTCTACCCGCCGGGCGCGGGCGAAGGCGACTGCATGCCGAAGGCACTGACGCTGGTGGAAAATCACGCGCTGGTGGTGGCGTGGTGGTTGGCGATGTTCGAAGCCCTCAGGGCGGAGAACCAGGACCGCGTCCGACTTCTGTACGAGTGTGCACTGACAGTCACGATCCGGCTGTATGTGGGGACGAGCAAGCAGGCGCTGGCGCTGATGCTCTGGCAGGCGACAGACAAGAAAAAGCAGGTGCTGGCGGTGGCGGATGACAACGTCATCACGTTTGCAAAAAAGTTCCAGATCATCGTGGAGAATTGTGGGGTGATTTGTCATATTGGAAAACAATATTAATATACCAACGCATGATTTACCTATTCAATTAATTTTTGATATGATTATATGTAGTATTGGTATGTATGCTGTGTGAGTTGCTTTTATCCTCAAAGGTGAAAGGAATCGGAAAGCAGCTGGAGCACTGGAAGGCGATCGGCCTCAACTTCATGGGGAAGCCGGTGTATCGAATGTTGCACTACGCTCTTCTGGCGATTGCGCAGCTGTCAGACAAGGCGCAGGCGTTGTTGCAGGAGCTGGAAAGCAAGGCCGGGCGCGCGTTCTTGACGGAAGGCCACTCCAAGTTGCACAACGTGATGCGACGCGCAGGCGCTGGCGCGGACAACTCAGAAGCCATCGATCCGGTGGTGGCACTACTGGTATAAAGTTTTGTACATGCCATGTGTCTATGTCTTTATAATAAGCCAAGATGTTGAGTTCCTCCTTATTCGGCATACACTGCTTATACACATCCCAGGAACAGCTGCTGCACCTCCTGCTTGTTGAGGTGGACGGCGAGAAACTGCAGGCGCAGGACGCGACCTCCGACTTCTTCGAGGGCGGCAGAGGCGCCGGCGCTGGCGTGGGCTGGGTGGCGATGTCGCTTTGCAAGCTGGCGGTGTTGGGGAAGGTGTGCGGCGTGCTGAGCACCTCGGAGGAGGCGTGGGCGAGCAATGCCTTGCAGCAGATCAATGATTTGGGGAAGGCGAGGCAGGCGCTGGCGAAAGCAGCGGAGGCGGAGTCTGTGAAAGTCTCAGAGGACGGCCTCTGGTCTGCTGTGTTTTCCTCCAAGGACGCGGTCCCGCCAGGCTACGCGGCCGACTTCATCGCCTACGTCAGCAACTTGTTGGGCGGCGGCTACGACGCGGACCTCAAAACCTTCAATGACAAAGAGGACTTGGTCGCGCAACTCCTTGCAGGCGAAGGCGACAACCCCGTGCTGAAGGACTGGCGGGAGGCCCTGGACACCCTGGACAGAGGGGTTTCCGGCTTGAGCACCGGCGTGGTGGCGGTTGATTCGATCCAGGAGGACTCGCTGGCGTCGGCACCCTTGTCACTGCTGATGCAAAAGTGCGCCGCCGGCGACGACCTGGAGGAGGTCAGGGAGACTACTCGCCGAGAGCGGGCGGAGGTGTTGGCAAAGGCGCGGGGGCTCAGAAAAGGCCTGTGCCAGTTGTTGGTGCTGCCACAGGCGTGCACCAAGGAGGCGTTGCAGTCGGCCTTGGCCCGTGCAGGTGCAGGCGGAGCTGGCAACTTCCACGGGAAGTTGAACGAGAAGCACCGCGGCTACTTTCTCATGGCCGACCTGGAGCATGAGGAGAAGCAGGGCTGGGCGCAGGTGTCAGAGATGAGCGGCTCTGTCAAACAGCGGTTTTCGCAGAAGTGCGCCTTCTTGAAGGGGCTGGCAGGGTCGTGCGACTTCGTCTTCGTCGGCGATGGGCGCTGTCGCGCGGCACGTGCGACGATCGAAGAGGCGCTGGTGAAGGACCTGGACTACACGCAGTTCTTCGAGCTTTGGGTGAGCTTCGCAGGCCCATGTGTGCGGGCGTCAACGCGGCAGGTGGTGGGCGGGCAGGTGAACAAGGAGATCATCTTCGTCAAGCTGCCGGCGCCGCGCGTACGCCTGGCCGCCGTGGAGCGGCAGGCAGCATACGGATGTTTCAGTTTTTCATATCATATGTTTAGGATATCAAGGTTTCCCTGATTGAATATAGTATTGAGTTTTTTTGGTATGTATAGTTGGAAAGCAGGATGACTTTGTCTCCAAGAGCAGCGGCGCTGGCGCGAAAGTCACGACGGCGGACACGAACTACGTGAACGTGCCGTTCCTGGCGTCGGCGAAGCTTCCCAAGCTGGCGTGGGCGGACAAGGCCGAGATCCTTGGCATGAAGGCGGATGCGGCGCCGGCGGACCGAGCACCGGATGCGTGGGCGGATGGCGAGGGCGCAAGCGCGGGCGTGCCACTGTTCTGGCAGGAGTCCAAGGGTGTGGCGGTGTGGCAGGCGTTGGTGAAGAACCATATGGTGAAGGATGTCGTCGACCTGTCACCTGGTTCTGGGGCGCTGGCGTCGGCGTGCCTGTCCATGGGCATCCGGTACACGGGCTTCTGCGGCAACGAGAAGCACCGGAAGTGGCTGGAGAACCTGGTGGACAGGCAGGCGCTGGCGCTGGCGGCGACAGAGGGGCATGCCCTCTGGACGCAGTCGCTGGCGGACCTCATCCAGCTCCACTTCAAGGATGTGGTCGCAGGCGATGGCGGGGATGGCGGGGATGGCGGCGGCGACGACGGCGACGAGGAGGGCGAAAACGAGGAGGATGGCGAGGAGGACGAAGTGCCGCTTATGGATGCCGAGTGAACAGGCGGTTCGTGACGCCGGCGCGGGCGCGGCGCTTATATGGATGCCGAGTGCACAGGCGGTTCGTGATGCCGGCGCGGGCGCGGCTTAGATCGTCTTTTCAGCCACTTCAGCCAGGCAAGGCTGGGAGCAACAGAGCAGGCGCTGGTGGGAGCAAAACAAAGCTTGCCTGGCCCGCACTTGCATTGCTGACAGTTGTCTTGGCTATGCATGACCATTTTCATGTCAGGATCCGTATACATGATTGTAGCACGAGTGTGCTTGAGACTGATGAGAGCCGGTATGATGTATATCATAACAATGAATAGTTTTTGTATATTGAGATGTACATCACATTGTATGTTCACGTTCTAATATGAATTAGTATTATCTCAGTATGTTTATGTCCATTGTTGTATTAACATAAAGAACGTTGTCCAGAAAGTTTTCTGAACGGTGGCTGCAGACGTTGAATCGCGGGAGACGGCGTGGGGATGGCTTTGCCAACTCCGCTTAAGCAGTTCCTCCGGGGGTGGGGAAGTACCACCCGAAAGCGAATGCAGGCAGCAGCTCGGGATGTCCTGGAAAGCAATGGGCTGCAGCTGTCGCAGCCGCCGGCGCAGGCGCTCGGAAGTGATTGCTGCGGCATGTCTGCGGAGGTGCTGGCGATGAGAGAGCTGGGTTTTCAGCATAGCGTTGTGTTTGCCAGCGACATCTGCGAAGGCGCAGGCTCATTCTGCCGGGCGAATGCTCCTGCCGGGAGCTTTTTCGGGGATGTCCTGGCCAGGAAGGCGTCGGCGCTGGCGCACATGCGCATCCACGGCTACTTCGCAGGGTTTCCCTGCCAGCCATGGTCCCGGATGCGGCGCAAAGGCGGGCGCAGGCGACGGGGATGGAGCGATCCCCGTGCTCGGGTGTTCGTGGCGTGCCTGCAGGCGGTGGCGCAGACACAGCCCCTGTACGCGATCCTGGAAAACGTGCAGGGGATCATGTGTTTCTGGGCGTCGGTGTCGGCGAAGGTGCAGGCGATGCTGCCGGGCTATCGGCTGCTGGCGGTGAAGCTCTGCCCGACGCAGCTGGGCAGAGGGCTTCGACGGCCACGCGTCTTCATCCTCTGCCTCCGGGAGGATAGCCTGATGGTTGGGTGCTGGCGGACGACGAAGGCGCTGGTGGCGGCAATGCTGGGGTCTGTTGCTGAGCAGAAGATGCAGCAACCGCTTTCCATGTTTTTGCTTCCGTCGGCGTCAGCGAAGGGGGCGGCAAAGCAGATGAAGAAACCGGTGGTGGCGAGAGCGCAAGCGAGCAGGAAGACGACGGCGACGGCGAAGTGGATCCTCAAGCACCGCGAAGCCCAAAGGAAAGCCGGGAAGTTGCCGCCCCTGCGCAAGCTTTCCTTTCTGACAGCAAGAGAGGCGGAAGTCTTGCAGTTGGCCGAAGCCAAGTTGGGCCAGGCCAAGGTGTTGGCGGTGGACGTTTCGCAGAGCGCGGATCGCATGCCGTGTGGTGACAACCTTTGATGCTCGGCCACGGTGTTAGTATAACTACAGTCTAACATCGTCTAGTAGTAAAATACTGGTAACCTGCCTAGACTTAATTGCAAAATATAAGGCGTTCCACCTAAACACAGGTGCATTTATGTTGCTTCTTTGTGCCTAGGTCCCACAGTCACCACGTCGTCGAAGATCGTCATTCGCGCAGGCGCCGGGGCAGCTTGCAGACTCTTGACCAACACGGAGAAGCTCCTGTTGCACACAGTGCCTGTGGACAAGCTGAAGTTCCCCGCCGCGACGAGGCGCACGCTACCGAGAATGGCTGGCAACTGCCAGGACGTGCAGTCTATTGGTGTGGCCATCGTTCTCGCGGTCAGCATGCTGAATTGGAAAAAGGCGAGGCTGGGCCAACCGAAGACGGGGCAGGCGCAGGCGAAGAAGCGAACGGTGGCGGGGACCATTCCAATTTGGTCTTGGAGTGTCAAGAAACGCCGGCTGCTGGTGCACAAAACGAAGACGGCAGATGTGAAGAATCAGTGAGGGCGGTCCAGCTTGTAGGCGTGTCTCACGGTGCTGCTGTACGCCGAGTGTTGCCGTGGCGTCCAGGACAAAGGCGGGAAGTTGCGAGCGTGATGCAACCGGGAACTGCCAGCAAATATCAATGGGATGTTTTCATACCAAGGAATATAATTAACATATCGTCAATATGTAATGATCATATATTCTATGTTCAGTATGTTGTATTAGTTTCCTGTTATAAATTGACATGATGTCATACTACTGGAGACTCCTGCCCGTGGGCTTCTTGTGGCAAGGCATGTGACGTTGCCTGGAGTTTTGCTTATTGTCTTGCGTGTGGAAGTTTTTTGGCTGCAGCTGCGTGTCATGGTAGTTTTCCGACCTGCTGTGCCCTTGAAAGACCTTTTCGGTCCTTCCTCTTTTGCGAGGGCGACGGTGCAGGTGAAAAGGAAGGCACCTGAAGCGTCAAGCAAGTCCCGCCCAGTCAAAAAGAAGAAGCCGTCAGGGGCGAGACAGGCTCCAAAGAAAGCGCGAAAGGCGTCGGGCTCAGCGCAGAAGAATAAGAAAGCTTCCAAGGCGTCAAAGGCGTCGGGGTCGTCGGCTAGCGCAGGCGCTGCCGCAGGCGTCGGCGAACACCCTCACAGAAGAGTGCACCCCAGCTTCCAGACAGGCTGTGCCGTTTGCCAGTTCCTGAAGCTTCGCAAAGGCTGGGAACGCACTGGGGTGTCGTCGACGACGATAGGCCAAGGCAAGCGTCTTGTTTGGCTCCGAGAAAGGCCAAACCGCTGGGGCGGGCGGCCGGCGTGGGCGCTGGGGTGCCTGGTTTGCCACAACTTGTGCAAGAAAATGCAAGAAGGCGTAGGTGCCGCGGGTTCTCCAGGCAGGCGCTGCTCAACCAAGTGGGCACGGTTCGAGGTGCAAGGTTTTGCAAGCATGCAGGCGTCGGCGCTGCAGCTGCACTCCCGATCCGCGGTGCACAAGATGGCTCTGCAGGTTTGGCTTCGCCCAGACGACGCGGAACTCGTCCTGAGAGCCACGGTGGGAATTTTCCATTTTTTGTTGAAGGCCCACTCTAGACTTCTTAGTCTAACACTGTAATGAGTGCTTCCTGTACCCGAGAACGCGGACCTCCTGCTCAGGCCAGGCAACACTGGAGGACGATGTGCTCCTGAAGGGAGCCGTCCCGCAGCCACCAGACTGGCTGCGGATCTGGAGGCTGTGTCGAAGCCAGGTTTCCTTGACGAGAACGTCGCAGATCTCTTTGACAGAGGATTTTATCTCCTCCTCAAGGGTTGAGGACCTGAAGGAAGTGAACAAGGCGGCTGTTGGTGCTATGGCGGACATATTGGCGGAGGCGATGCGGGTGGGCAAGCGGCAGGCGCTGGCGCGGGCGCACACGGTGGCTTTGACTCTGGACGACAAGCAGCCCCACCGCTGCCTCATGTACAAGTCCAGCGGTGTCGCAGGCGGCAAGCACGAATCCTCAGCCGGTATGTTGGCGCTCCTCAAGCCCGCGCAGGCGAGGGAAACGCCTGCGTCCGCAGGCGCAGCGCTGCAATACTTTGACGAGGATTATGCTGTGCGGGTGCGAGATTCCATTCTGGCGGCAGTCAGACTTTTTTGCACGGACATCATGGGCCAGTTTGATGAGAGCCTCTACAGCCACATCCTGATGAGCACCAAAATCTTCGCTGGCGATGGCGCTTTGTTGAAGGCAGGCGTGCTGCTCAAGGAGGTGATGCCCAACGTGGTTGTAGTACCCGGTCTGCTTTCATTTATAGGTTAAACCGAGAGCTTCCCAACAACATAATATAAAGGTATATATATATATATATAACATGATTTGTTGAGGATGATTATCATTGTTGTATGTATATATGTATACAAAAAAATTATGATTATATGAACAGGACAGGAGAAATACTTTGAACAAACATAGTTTTTTCTCGTACTCACTATCTGCAGTCCGATAAGATGCGTTCCTTCTTATCATCTGGCCCCCCGCAGCCAGGTGCATCGCGATCCCAGCCATGCCATCAGGCTAGCGGCGCAGGCGGCCGAGGTGGCGGACGACAACTTCGCGGAGGTGTGGGCGCGGCTTTTTGGGGGGAAAGGCTCACTGGTGCCAGACTTGCAGCACAAGCACGATACTTTGCACAATGTGTGTGCGTTGTGTGTGTTTTTTTCACTGATAATTTTTTTTTGCATACTCATAGATTGTAACTTCAAAGTCTGTTCTTACTTGTACAAAAAAATACATCATGGGTATGAACACATTCGTTTACTGGTCT